GTTAAAAGGGGGCGTATAACTGTATAATTATATACATACAAACACTTGGAGAGTTTGCCAGACAGGAATTAATCATTTACAATTCTTAGTCTGAAATTCATCCGATTACTTCGAGTCGTTATTACTCCCTCAGTGGAGAAAACGACTCGAAGCAATCGGATGAATTTCAGGCTATCACAATTCTTCGACTGGAAACTATATGCAAGACACAAATCACTTTCGGGGAACAAGACTCAGTCCACAAACAACTGCAAGTTTCCCTGTGCGAACAAGTGAATCAATACAGAAGTTCACCGGTAAATAAATTTTCTGCTAACTTATTGCCCGCTTACAGGTGAAGTATTGTCTTTTAAATAGTTTTAAAAAATGACTACATGTAAAACGCGCGGGCGTACCTTGCGAGTAGAAGTTTCTCTCGCATGGCATTTAACGTTTACAAGGTAGTTAACGTGGCTTGTCTGTTGCCTAGTTGGTTTGTGCATGGATAATAGAAAGACCAACTAAGGGAATAACAAGGGACGCAAACGACTTCGTTAACACTAAAAGCCATGCAAGACTGAGATAAACCTCTAGGGCTGGCAGGGTAGCGCCGCCCAGCGTGAATTGATCGAACCTTTTATTTTCTAAAGCTTTCTTTCCGGCTAATAAAATGAACTGCATGTAAAAAGTGGAAGAGAAATAGCGAAAATTACCACTTTTAATCAAATCTTTTCTTATAGTTTAGAATGTTTTGATCAAAGTTGTGTAAATCGACCTGAATCAGGGCATGGAACCTTGCGTTTCCTGTTTTTATCTCACTTATTGTATGGAATATGTGTGAAAATCTTCTTATGAATCGGTATATTTCAAAGAGCTACACGACGACCAAGAATACTATTGACCAACAGCATACAGAGCGGGGGCAGCTGTACAGTAGTGTCAACTATTACTGGTATTAATAATAATACTTTTTTTAATAGTTTATTAGAAGTGCTTTCACGTGATGGATCTTTGCCTTTCAAATAACTAACACCGTATAATAGGAAAAAACAACATTACTGTTATTGAAATAATGCAGTACTCACATTAATATTAAAACAGAATATACTGGAAATATACTTAAAATATATATGTATCAGCCTAGGTTAAAGAGCCTTTGGGTTGGCAAGCTACTACCCTGCGAGCAGAGGCTACATTTTCGCGGTATGAGATGGCATGCGAAAAGTACTTTTCGCTCGCCACCTCATACCCCGAAAATGTAGCCTCCGCTCGCAGGGTAGCAAGCTACTGAAACTATTTGCATCCATGTGCGAAAAAGTATCCACTTCCATGGGAAGTGATAGTTAAGGGACCGAGGATGATCGTACGTGACATTGATACTTCGTGGTTAGCACTGCACTAGAATTAGGGGTTTAATACTGAAATATAACTCGATTTCCGAATACTAAGTTAAGATTTCAAAACCACTACCAAGGTAGCTGGGGACCCCGTGCAAACGTAATTTCTTTCGTCCCTCTCAGCCCTTGCATCACCGTTCTAAACGTGCCACTTTCTATGTGGGTTTACTAAAAATGGCGTTTGTTTGTTATTTGTGGGATATCCAAAAACAAAAGAAATATTTACTGATCACAGCTGAAAGTAACATTTGTCGTATATCGGCTACACTGATTGTTTACAACCGTTCTGTGTTATGATCTACACTAAAAGATAATGCTTAATTTATTCTACTTTTTCTGCAGGAATTTCTTTATCCTGATGCGCGTGATAGGCAGTTTCTACTGTTTTTCCACAAATTTTCCAAAAGGAAATCTTTGGATGTGAGAAGATACAACGATATCAAGAATTCCATCGCTAAAATTGAGGAAGATTTGAAAGTTCTTCGAAGTCCATTGTTTCTGCACCTTCCAGAAGCGGTAAGAATGGAATTACTAGGAGATAGTGCAAACGAAGAAGACAAGAAATAACTGAATCATGAGAGATCACTTGAGGAACCCGTTGTTGAAGAAGTACGGTGCCAGTGTGGCTATAATTTCTTTTCTTTGCCGTCATTCTCCGTGTTGAAATAATTTATTGAGAGCATGAAGAGACAATGATAATGATTGACTTTTGAATATATTTATCACTCTGTCGTGGAATTTTCCTGAGGGTGTTGTCAGGGAAGATTCCAAAAACAACTGCTGTGGTGTGGGGAGGTCTAGGATTTATGGCATTTCAGTTTGGTCTACTGGCTCGTTTGACCTGGTGGGAGTATTCATGGGATATCATGGAACCTGTGACATATTTTGTAGGATATGGGACAGCAATGGCAGCTTATGCTTACTTCGTACTGACAAGACAGGTATTAAAGAGGTTATTAAATCCCATAATATACCTGAGACGAACATTCCACACTGAAAATTAAATTTATGTTTGGTAGTTTAGTTACCGCAGATGTCAAAGAAAGGACAATAACAATATAACAAAAAAAATAGGCGCGAGAAAACACTAAAAATAAACAGCGTGAACGGCATGAATTTTGCATTTTGTTGATGAACACCAAAGTTTGTGTCTGTTGAACTGAGTTACGTAGGTCAAAAGTACCCTAAAGAAAGGGAAAGTTTTGAAAACTTTCGAAAGTGTCAGTGTGACCGAAGGGTGTGGAAAACTTTAAACGTTTACGGAAAAAGGCATTGAAAGTCATGGAATCAGTTCAAAAGCTCAAAAGAGCGCCAACCCTGAATGAAGCTATAATAGTCTGCTAGCAAGCTCTCGTGGCTATCCTCGCTGAGGTTATTTTCTCAGAGTTTCAATTTGACAGTTTGAATAGTTTATTTGTTTTTGTAATAATAATGATGATGATGATGATGATGATGATGATGATGATAATTATAATAATAATTGCCCCCGCAGGGATTTCGTTCAGAAGGCGAAATCCCGAGGAGGCATCCTAGCAACTTGCGCTTATATTTAGAAAAGTACTTACAGTTAAAATGTGCAGTCAGTATACCTAAAAAAATCTTGACTTGCTTGATTAGGGGCGGCAAGGAATCGTTTGGTAATAATGACGTTTCAAATGTTCACCCCCGCAAGTATGAAATGGTTAGGATTACGTGAAACAGAAAATGCCTGAAGGGTCCGCTTAGATTGATTTTGTGACGCTTATTGTACAGTCATACTTCAATACTCTTTTGGGTTACGTGTGTTCAGTGACATTCTCTGGAGCAGTTGTTTTGAAAGCTATGGATCATAAAAAGACACTCATTAAGCGCGGATGAAGTTAAAAGGGGGCGTATAACTGTATAATTATATACATACAAACACTTGGAGAGTTTGCCAGACAGGAATTAATCATTTACAATTCTTAGCCTGAAATTCATCCGATTACTTCGAGTCGTTATTACTCCCTCAGTGGAGAAAACGACTCGAAGCAATCGGATGAATTTCAGGCTATCACAATTCTTCGACTGGAAACTATTTGCAAGACACAAATCACTTTCGGGGAACAAGACTCAGTCCACAAACAACTGCAAGTTTCCCTGTGCAAACAAGTGAATCAATACAGAAGTTCACCGGTAAATAAATTTTCTGCTAACTTATTGCCTGCTTACAGGTGAAGTATTGTCTTTTAAATAGTTTAAAAAAATGACTACATGTAAAACGCGCGGGCGTACCTTGCGAGTAGAAGTTTCTCTCGCATGGCATTTAGCGTTTACAAGGTAGTTAACGTGGCTTGTCTGTTGCCTAGTTGGTTTGTGCATGGATAATAGAAAGACCAACTAAGGGAATGACAAGGGACGCAAACGACTTCGTTAACGCTAAAAGCCATGCAAGACTGAGATAAACCTCTAGGGCTGGCAGGGTAGCGCCGCCCAGCGTGAATTGATCGAACCTTTTATTTTCTAAAGCTTTCTTTCCGGCTAATAAAATGAACTGCATGTAAAAAGTGGAAGAGAAATAGCGAAAATTACCACTTTTAATCAAATCTTTTCTTATAGTTTAGAATGTTTTGATCAAAGTTGTGTAAATCGACCTGAATCAGGGCATGGAACCTTGCGTTTCCTGTTTTTATCTCACTTATTGTATGGAATATGTGTGAAAATCTTCTTATGAATCGGTATATTTCAAAGAGCTACACGACGACCAAGAATACTATTGACCAACAGCATACAGAGCGGGGGCAGCTGTACAGTAGTGTCAACTATTACTGGTATTAATAATAATACTTTTTTTAATAGTTTATTAGAAGTGCTTTCACGTGATGGATCTTTGCCTTTCAAATAACTAACACCGTATAATAGGAAAAAACAACATTACTGTTATTGAAATAATGCAGTACTCACATTAATATTAAAACAGAATATACTGGAAATATACTTAAAATATATATGTATCAGCCTAGGTTAAAGAGCCTTTGGGTTGGCAAGCTACTACCCTGCGAGCAGAGGCTACATTTTCGCGGTATGAGATGGCATGCGAAAAGTACTTTTCGCTCGCCACCTCATACCCCGAAAATGTAGCCTCCGCTCGCAGGGTAGCAAGCTACTGAAACTATTTGCATCCATGTGCGAAAAAGTATCCACTTCCATGGGAAGTGATAGTTAAGGGACCGAGGATGATCGTACGTGACATTGATACTTCGTGGTTAGCACTGCACTAGAATTAGGGGTTTAATACTGAAATATAACTCGATTTCCGAATACTAAGTTAAGATTTCAAAACCACTACCAAGGTAGCTGGGGACCCCGTGCAAACGTAATTTCTTTCGTCCCTCTCAGCCCTTGCATCACCGTTCTAAACGTGCCACTTTCTATGTGGGTTTACTAAAAATGGCGTTTGTTTGTTATTTGTGGGATATCCAAAAACAAAAGAAATATTTACTGATCACAGCTGAAAGTAACATTTGTCGTATATCGGCTACACTGATTGTTTACAACCGTTCTGTGTTATGATCTACACTAAAAGATAATGCTTAATTTATTCTACTTTTTCTGCAGGAATTTCTTTATCCTGATGCGCGTGATAGGCAGTTTCTACTGTTTTTCCACAAATTTTCCAAAAGGAAATCTTTGGATGTGAGAAGATACAACGATATCAAGAATTCCATCGCTAAAATTGAGGAAGATTTGAAAGTTCTTCGAAGTCCATTGTTTCTGCACCTTCCAGAAGCGGTAAGAATGGAATTACTAGGAGATAGTGCAAACGAAGAAGACAAGAAATAACTGAATCATGAGAGATCACTTGAGGAACCCGTTGTTGAAGAAGTACGGTGCCAGTGTGGCTATAATTTCTTTTCTTTGCCGTCATTCTCCGTGTTGAAATAATTTATTGAGAGCATGAAGAGACAATGATAATGATTGACTTTTGAATATATTTATCACTCTGTCGTGGAATTTTCCTGAGGGTGTTGTCAGGGAAGATTCCAAACAACTCTTTTTACAACGGGTTTAGTATCCTGCGTGGCAGGCGTTCGATAGGGAAGGGAAAGGGGATTTTTGGCGCGAGGGACGCGCGAGGAAGGAGGGAGAGGCGTTCCCCTCCTACCTTCTCCCTCGCGCGCGGTCTCGCGCTCAAATTCCCTTCCACATCCCATTCGAACGCCTGCCACGCACACGCAGGCTACAGGTTTAGCATTGCTTGTTCTTTTCGCCGTCGATCAGAGCCCTAATTACTTACTTTGCGATATGATCATTGTCAAACAGTTTCGTTAGTTTGTTCAATATAAATCATGAAGCGTTTCCATTCAAGTGAAAGCTTTTAAGCAGTACTTTCCCGTAGTGCTGTTTATTATACTTTGCTTTGGCGTGATCTAAGGCCCTGTTCGCTCCAAGGAAAATTTGTTTGTTATGCAAAAAAATCTGTCAACAGCAAGCCATTTCTAGTGCGAACGATTTTTCCACCCACCAAGATTTTCTCAGCTGTCACCAAACTTCAAAGCTGTCGTCGAGAAGATTTGGAGGCGTACAATTTTCTGTCAGGCGACAAAATCCTTTGTTCCGTTAAAGCTATCCTTAGCCTGCGTAGCTGACGGCATTGTGTAGTAGTCGAGTGAGATTTGGCGAAGGAGCCGTTGTAATATAGTCGAGTGAGATTTGACGGCGGAGCCGTCACGAGCGGCGAAGAAGCGAGAAATTTCAACCGCCTCGTCCCTACTCCCTTTTTTGGAACACGGCTCCGCCGCCAAAACTTTAATCTCGCACCCACACAATACCGCCAGCTACGCAGGCTAAGCTATCCTTCGTCGGGTCATCTTATTTGGCGTGTCTCAGATGAGAACAAGGTTGCAAAAACAGAAAATTGGTGATTACAAAATTTTCACATTTCTTGCAAACGTTTGTCGTAGTGCGAACATGGCCTTCTTGAGTCTTTTAATGAAATTCCTGCGGTGTGGCCATCCGAATATAATCTCTCCTGCAAGAGTTCTATTTTTTGTTCTTTCTTTGTTTTGGAAAATTTTACCAAAGGCAAATTTTGTTTGTTTTTCTTTCTAGAATGGGTGAAAAGATTAGGAAATCAACTTTTTTTTTCGCGATCTAATTACTATTTAATGAAATGGTTTCAGTAACAAATACAAATATACTTGTAACTGGCTACAATGTCAGCCACAAGTGAATTCATTTTATCATAAGTTCACAAATCTGAAATTGTTAGGACATTAAACCACTATGATTAAACAAATATCGCCCGATTAGAATTCTGCGTGTTTTTACCTAGTCTTATGCATTTCGAGTGATTTAGCCATTACTAGATTTATTGTGTTTTACCGATTCAGAGTGCAACTTGAAATGAAACGTAATACGCCACTTCCGAATTCCAAAACCCTCACTTTCAAAACGAGGCTAAGTGCAAAACCTGTCTTGTGAAATTTCCCCATTTCCACGCAAGAGCGATCGCAAGAAGGAGAAAGTGTAGTTTGTTTTGCGCGTGAGCAGAATATTTGCAGCCAAACAGCTAAACATAGTTGGACGACATTGCGCGTGAACAGACCATCATTTGTGGGCAGTCATTTGCAGGGCACGTGGTGCCGGAGCTCTCGGCCAATGATAAGGAAGAAGAGAGACAACAAGAGAGAAAAATATACTTTCATAAACGCCAATATCAAAGTCATTAACACCGTCTTGAAAGTCAATAGGGAAAATAGACGAACATAAAAGTGCAAACGCAATTCATTAACATTTTTATGACACTGTTACTACAATCAATTGAGCGTTCTTCACATTTAATTTACAAAAATCGATTTTCAATTAAACAATGGAAATCCACTTGCTAAAATCGTATGGAAGCTAATACAAAAACTCTGAATAGCATAGATCATGAATGAAACGGTCATCAAGAAATGTTTAACTTTTCGCAGTTATGTTGCCCCGAGAACATGTTCGTCAACAGAAATGCAGCTGATTCTGCTGATTATCATCATCATAGTTATAAGCTTTGCGTCTTTAATTTGATAAAGTAAAAGACTCAAAGAAGTCATCAATAAAGATATTAAACAATAAGGGACCTAAAGCGTATTCCTGGGGAACGTTGCTGTTGACATATGGGGTATCACTGGTAGTGTCCTCCGCTCAAAACAGTTTCCTGAGAATTTTTAAATAGTTCTTCAGTAAGTTTAAACTATAGGTAGAAATACCATATTACAGAAAGCTTATAAGAAATATATCTAAACAGGGACTCACGTCACACATGTGGTTTTCAGTGGGGCCCTGCATCAAATAAAATTACAGATATAAAAGTCCCTAAATATTTGAACTTAAAAATTTAAACATTTTAAAAAACTAATAATCTAACCTCCAAAAAATAAAATTTTAAAATACTTCTAATTTGTCTTTTAAAAGATAAAATGTCCGAAACGTCTTCAACTTTATTAGATAGAATGTTCCAGTCATTGGCTGGTTGGTGTATGAAACGGTTTTGTCCCCCTGCAGGAGCGACGTGACTGCATGGGGCCTACAAATGTTATTTTTACTCCAAGTGTTATAGTTGTGAATGTTTTTAAAACTGTAAAAGTTAAAATCCCAGTCAATCAAGCCATTTAAAGCCTTGAAAAACAATATTAATATATGAAGTCTTCGTCTTTTTGTTAAGTTTTCCCAGCCCAGCTGATCGAGCGCCTCGATAGCAGATAAATGTTTTGGCAAATCGACTGAAAACGATTTTGGCAGCCAAATTTTGCAGAACTTGAACTTTTTTCATCAACGTGACATTAGATTTGTCTCCCCAAGTGGTCAAAACCTTGCCACGGAGGTATTCTACGACAAAGGATCTCACCACGTTGGATTTTCATTGATGACCATTGATGATAACACTCAGATACTTAGAAATGCTTACTCGATCCAACGTTTTTTCACCGATTGTCAAGGTAACTTCGCTGACAGAGGTAAGTTTCTTCGGACAATCCATAGTAAATTTAGATTTCGAAATGTCTAATGTCAGTTTATGCTCGTAAAGGCAAAGCCATTGTGCTACCCTGATTAGATCTTCATTTAGCTTGGTCTGCAATCTATAAACTGATTCTGAAGAACAGTTTAGGGTCGTATCATCAGCGAATAAGGAGACAGTACTGTTACGAGGGACCTTAGGCAGATAATTGATATAGATGGTAAATAATAAAGGCCCTAGTATAGATCCTTGAGGAACACCTGCTGACGCCTTTCTCGTAGAAGACGAAGGCTGTCCAATAACTGTTTTCTGACATCGTGGTAAAAGTAACACTTCCAAGGGGTGACAGGCCGCCCATCTTCACCGGCGTGAGACCTTTAAAAACCTTTTACATATTGCTTCAGTGAAGAGAACTCTTTCAGGGATTTTACACTTTAAAACTTTAACGATGATATAGCTTCCCTCTTATGTTCAGCAGGTGAAAAATGTGTTGAGCAGAACCTTAAATGTACAACAGACAATTAATTCAGTTCGGGCGTTTTCCTGTTGAATTTGTTGCCCGTTTTTAACAGGATATGTCTGCTCAAAATATGGTAACTTTCCATAGCTTCTGTTATCTTAGGTGTATGTAATATCTCCGTACAGTTTAGGTTTACGCGATCTCAGAGTACAATTAATGTTTAGCTGTACACAGCATATATTCTTTAAATATCTCCAAATACGTTATCGAATTCACAGTACGGACGAAACATTAAATCGACTGGGACTCTGGTCACTCTGCGACATGTATTACGTTTTCTACAGACTACTATCAACGACTCAATTTAGAAGCTGGTTTACTAACTTAGAACAAACGTCACGGAATCGTAGTCAACAGTTACCGGCACCGTACAAACTACTTATCTACGGAATCAAGCAAAACTAACTACGAGAGAACAACTGGACAAGTGACAATTTGACTAAAAATGAACGACTGTTTAACTGTGACAATAGACGAATCGAAACGCACCAATGACAGTGTGAGTCTTCATAGGCAATGACATTAAGGCTTAACTGACAAACGACCAATAATATCGCGACTTATTGTCCAATCGGGTCTGTCAACAATCAGAGTTAAATACCATCCACTGACGTGATACAACTCACTTTGAAGATGACTACCGCACAGGTTGTCGAAACGTCAGTCACTGTTAACAACAACAATCCTATTCATTACTACGTTCACCCGGACGATCATACTCAACCTACTTACGGTTAATTACATTCCATGCTTTGTTTATAAGTTGCAATGTTTACAAGAATTTTTGAGGCAGAAAACATGTACGAAGAGTTTTGGTATTAAATTTGGTTAAAATTCGTAAGATTTCCTTATTTTTCTTTTCATATTGTTAAAAATCACTGAAACAAGGTTTAATTTGATTCAGAGCCCGTTTGTTATTTTTGAATAAACATTTTGTTCGCAGTCTGCGTGCTACACGTCACGTCAGCAGTTTAAATTATGCGCTCATCTTTTATCCAAGTATCAATTTCTTGTAAACCTGTCGAACAGTTTATCGTTGACATCAACAAAAACATCTAAAATTGACCAGGCTGCGAGTGCTTGCTGTTGCTGTGAGTGCTTAACATCCGAGTGAAATAAGCCCATGGTGGTAAAAACACAGATTTAGGTCGCCGTTTTTTAGTAGGAGTATGGCGCGGGTACACTACATGTAGTTCAAGTAATTTGTGTTGATCCAGATTAACACATTTTGCCGACTCGAATCAGAAAAACAGGGCGAGGGTAGTGTGTGGAGGCTCACTATTCAGCTGTGTTTGTTTATGGCGTCGAAATTTTTTGGAAATGCCATGAGACTGAGTTCAAAAGAAGTTAATTTCATGAGAGAAATACATTAAAGCTATCATTCCTGACAATATGCAGATGATACCACACTCTTTTTAAGATACCTTGTCGATCAATAT